AGCCACGTATGGTTGAAGGGTGGCGACTTGTGTTTCAGGTCCTTGACAATTAAGTATTTGTTGACTTTGAAAAATATTAGTCATAGTTCCAATACCAGTCAAAACCATGGGGACTTCTTGTAAAGGACAGGTTGAGGGCCAAAATCTTTTAGCTATAATAGTTACATGGGCTCCAGCGTCTACTAATCCTGCAAAGGGCTTTCCATTTCATTTTAATTCAACCTGGGGCCATTGATCATTTATAAATGTTTGCCAAAAGACTTTTCTGCCAGTGCTGCCAAAACCTCCCTGACGCTGAACGTCAGAACTGCCCGTTTGAATGTAAGGTAATAGCCGTAATTGAGCAATACGATCTCCTGCCTGAATATGATATTTTTTATCAGAACTGATCACAACCGTAATTTGATCAGTAAAATCAGAATCCATTACCCCAAGATGTACTTTAACACCTTTAATAGTCAAAGAACTCCTTCCAATAGTTAATCCTACCATATTAGGAGGAAGGGGACAATAGACACCTGTTGGTACTTTACAAATTCAGGCAGAGGGCAATAACAGCCCATCACAGAAGGCAAGTAACTCTAAAGCCACGCTGCCCCGTTGTTGCTGGGGAAATGTCCTTTACTGTAAGCTGTGAGAAGCTGGTTGCCAAGTGGGAAACACTTGGCGGAGTGGAGGTCTACCAGGAGGCAGAGGTAAGAAAGACATACAAGGAGAACATCAAGGACAGCAAGAACAAGGTTGAAAATTAGGACAAGAGCAAGATCTGACTCGGTTTCTTCCCAGGCTAGAATATGCTGGCAGGTGCCGGCAGGGTGGAGGCCCAGGGGAATTAAGTGGAGGGGGGGGAGTTAAATCTTCCCACTCTGAATCCAAATCTTCCTCGGTCACCTGCACAGCCTCATTTCGGGGAGCAGAAGGGACATTCATAACATTAAGTTGACCTTGTTCTGAGTCATCTGAATCAACTGTAGGTAGGTCATACAGGACCTCCTGCTCCTGAGTCTGCTGTTTTTCCAAATCTTTCCCTGTTGGAATTGGTGCAGCAGCACCACTTTGAGAATCCAAGTCAGACTGCAAAGGCTGAAGAGCCTGAGAAATAAGGGTACACAATTGCCAAACCGAAGAGGAACTCGCTCTCCCCTCTCATGAGCTCTCGAAGTGCCTGACAGCCAGCCTCCACGGCCGCAATCGGAGAGTGCCAGGAGGAGGAAACCAGTAACAATGCTTAGCTACAAGATGAAACAGCTCCTCAAAAGTTTGTCATCTGACAGTGACCCCCAAGCCTTGAAGAAAAGTTTGCAAGAGTTCAATATAGTCAAGAAATTTAGACAGATTTTGCCCCATTTGTTACCCTGACTGACCAATCCCTGAAGGCGAAAAAAAAAAACTCACCAAAGCTTTATGTCGGCTGGCACTCACGGCTCGCAGCCTTGTTCAGGTCTCTGCAAAATTGAATCGGAGTTCCTTTTGCTGCTCTTCAGGACCCTGCTCCCTGCGCCGGTTATCAGGGATTCGCGATGTCCCCAATAAAGATAGGGTCCCCTGGCAGAATGTGTTGCAAGAGATAAACGAAACAAAGATACAGAAACAGAAATAATATTTAAGAGAGTGGGGAAATCAGGGGACCACCAGCACTCCGGTGCCAAGGTGGCACTGACTGAAACCCAGCACTTGCTTTTTATTCTCTTTGCCATGCTGCAAAATACAATGATCTCATGTGAAAAAATCACAGGATACAATGATCAAAGGTCTCGGGGCTACCCCCAAAATCACAAGGTGTCCTAGCTAATTTCCTTCTCCTTCCTAGAAGTGAAAAACACACAATTCTTCAGCAGATACAACCCTTTTGATCAAGGTAAACTAACTCATTTTATCCCAAGCTCAAGCTATGTACATGGATATCAATCTCTAACTTCAGTAGCTGTGACCCATTTGCTCAAGGAACAGAGAAACTACATGCTTTCCACTGGGAGACTGGTTTTATATTAACTGAGGCATTATTGAGAGAAAGGGAGAGAAGGAACTTGGCCCAGTGTTCAAACAATGGAAGCCCTGAGACCCTTCTCCCGGGCTGACATATGGTAATCTACCTCCACAGCCATGAGAAGTTTTCATGTCGGGCCACCCGTGGCTTTTCATGCATGAGACCCCTTGGGCTCTGAGGTTGGAGCATGTTTTTCTGTACTCCCAGATTGCTGATATATGTCCCCCAACTAGGCAGTTAACATCTGCCCTTATTTCAGGCTTCTTCTCAGGCAATTCCTTCACCTCCTCTCCTCTCACAGCCTCAGACACAGCATCCCTAAGTCCCAGTGGTCTTAATCCCATCAGCCAAGAGTGCACGTCCTGAGTGCTGTTTCCTAGGAGCTCTCAGAGGGAGTTTGGCAGGGAGGAGAGAGCCCACTGCACCCAGTACAGGTGCTCCTGCAGCTGCCCAGCCCATGGGAAACAGTGTCCCCTCCCAACGACCTAGAATACAGACAGCTATCTTGAATAGGGGCCTCGTGGGGCATTAGAAAGCAACCCCAGGAGCACCTTACGCAAACAAACCAGGCACCCGGTGCCATGCCCATGCTGGGCCCCTCAAGACCCCTCCCAGGAGCCACTTCTGTCAGGGTGACCTGCTGCTGTAGCCCGAGACACAGGAGCAGAGAACACCCAGAAAGCAAGACCACTGCAGGGTCTGGCCATGGAAAAAGTCACCCAAGAACTTCATAGGCAAAACCACAGGCTCCCACGGGCCTCAGCACAGCACCATGACAATGGTACCAGCACACCCTTTAAGCAGAATCTTCCCCAATTACCTACAACTCCAGTGCAATCTGGCCTGACAGGTGCTCAGCCCAAGGTCTCCAGGGAAGGGGACTGGGGAAGGAGCAAAGAGAACACTCACCTAGCTGTGGTATTATCCAGGGACCCAACCTGTCCCTCTACCTAGAATCCCCTGAACCCGTGCCCAGGAGATACAGACCCTAAGGCCTGGGTTGGTCCCAGGTTGCACAGCTGATTTTGAAAGAGCCAGATGCTGGTTCTGACAGACGCCATACATGCCTGCACCCAGACCAGTGTGGGGCTGGTGCCACCTCCATCCCAGGGCCCTTGACAGGAGCTGAGTTGAGGCCACCAGCACCCCAGGTGTGGAGGACGGTGCCCACAGGGGTGGCTGTCCCCCAGTCCTCCAGGTGAGAAACCTCAGAGGCCTGCCCCACTGAGGCCAAGCCCACCCTCATGAGGTTCCCACACAGGGGCCTGACTGCCAGGACCCACCTGGTCATGACATATGGACAAAGCAGCCCACGAGGGATCCAATGAAGACTCTGTTCTTCCTGGGGCATGCTGGTGGCGCTTCTTCTGCTGGAGAAGGCAGCACTGCCACATGCTGCAGGGACGGGGGACAGTGGTCAGGGTGACAGGGAGGAGGGAGGGGACAACTGTCCTTTCCCACTCTGAGCCTCCTGCCGCCCCTCTCCCTCGCCCTTCCTTCCCCTCCATGCAGAGGAACTGAGGCAGGCTGCTGACTGAGGAGCAGGGCTGAGACCCACTGAGGGGGCCACCACCTGGGCCCGCCCTGGGGAAGCAGCGGAGCTGCCTGGAGAATCTGTGCACATGGAGGACTTGGAGCCCCAGGTCATGGCAAGGGCCCCCAGTCAGCAGCGCACAGGAGCAACCAGGCATGTTCAGCCCCACACCCACACCCACTGGGAACGGAACAGGGGACTGCGCCCACAGCAGGGCCTCGGTGGAGCCCCTCGTGGTGGCACACACCTCACAGCTCGCTGTGCACTGTGGGCACACATCCAGGAGGCAAATGTAGACACTGAGAAGCATCCGGCCCCTGCGTGTGCAGACACGCTGGGGAGCAACCGACAGCCCCTCTGCAGGGGCAGCCCCAAGGTGGGGGGGACACAGAGGCAGGGGGGTGACGGTGCCCACTGGCTCTTTCAAGCCAGCTGCCGCAGAAGGAAAGGAGCCAGTGGCGGGGCTGGGGGTACTCGCAGACCGACTCCCCGGGGTGCAGGTCGGTGAGCAGCAGGAGCGCCTGCACCGTGATGACGTCAAGGCGCCGGCAGTGGCCTTGCCACCCTCAGCACCTTGAGTGAGGTGAGGCAGAGCACGTGGCCATGACGGCAGAGAAGTGGGCGCTCAGGCTCGGATGGCGCAGCCAGCAGGATGGGAAGGCGCTGCTGTAGCCGAGCCATGAGCAGGCAAGCTGCAAACGCGGGTAGCCCACAGCCAGCCACCGTCCATGCTCAGCGCCGCGTTGGGAGCCAGGAAGGTGTCCAGGAGGCCGACAGCCTGGCACATGCTGGGCAGTGTCGAGCGCCACCAGGAGCAAATGGCCCAGCAACAGGATCACCAGGAAGACACCCGAGCGTGGGCGCAGCCCTTCGCTGTGGACGCAGCAGAGCAGCACCAGCGTGTTGGGCAGCAGCGCCCCGGCCAGCACCAGCGCCACAGCCCCTCGAGCAGCGCCTCGCTCCGCCCACGGCGCAAGCGGCTCGCCAGGCACCTGGCGGCTGGAGGCTACGGGGAGCCGCACGGGTCTGGGCTTCCGCGAGGGCCGGGGGAAAGCGCGGAGATTCGGAGCCAGCGGACAGGGCACGGAGCAGCACAAGGAAGGCGATGAGAGTGGGTCCAGGAGCGGGTGGAACGCTCTGCCCTGAGGAGCAGAGCAGCTGGTGGCCAAGCCAGCAGCAGCTGCGGTCTCGGCGCTGTCCAGGGTGCTGAATGATCTTGCTGTCCCCACGGCACGGCACGGTCCAACCGAGCAAGGCGGGAGGGCGCCGGCGCTGGAGCGATGGAGGTCTCTTTGCTGCAGCCTTGTATTTCCTTCCCATCTCGCGGCCTGGTGGGAAAGGGCTCTACCTGGTCCAGGGCGATCCCTGCAATGGTCACACCTGCTCCTCCCGAGCCTCCCAGTGGTGCGCAGTTGAGATTCGAGCCAGTGGCTGGGTCCTCGACGCATCGCCCCTCGCCCTGCACCTCGCCCTGTCGCTGGCACCAAACTGGGGCCACCGGTGGTTTGTGGGTGGTGAGGGAGGGAGGGAGAGAAGTGGCAGGAGCTGTGCCGGTGGGTGGTGGGGGAAGGGCGTGGGGGGGTGGCTGGAGAGAAACCAAGAGCCTATGACAGGGCTAGGGCTGCACCAACATTTGCTGAACCAAAAAAGCCGACAACAAGTAGAGCAAGACTGAGGGAGGGATGAAAGGAGAGAGAGGAAGAAGGAAAAGTGAAGAGGAGGAAGTGGGGCGGGGAGAGGGAAGAGGACAGAGAAGCGGAAAAAGGAACGGCAGCTGGGAAGGACCCGCCCCCACAGGATGTAGCACAGAACCTCTCACCTGGCTCTTGGTGCCGGGAGGTAGGAGGATTGCTGTCTCTCCCTGGACCTCCACTGTCCCCTTTCATAGCTTCTGAAACTTGTCACCCGCTGGGACTCTTCCAATCCCTTCCTGGCCAGTTGTCAGGACACAGATGTGATGAGGGGCCTGCCTCCCAGGAGGCTGGTTGGCATTTTCCCCCAGTGGCAGCCCTGATGTGACAGCAATGGAGGGTGGACACTCACCCCCCCACACACCCACCTGCAGGCTCTGCAGCGCAGCCCTTTCTGAGGGACACAGGGTGACTGGCGGGGAGGGGCTCAGCTCCGTAGATCACAAAGCTAGGAACCAGGAGTGCTGGGATTCAGGCCTTGTTTGCTCTCCGCGGTCTATGTCGTGACTGGTGCAGTCCCCTGCACATGCTGGGTGCCCAGTAAATCCCTGTGATGAATGAATGACCTGCCTTCGCACAACAGACTGGCAACGCCCCCCTTAAGCCTCAGAGAAGCTGCTCTCTGCTCCCCTGCGAGTGGAATCCCCCTCCCCTTGGAGTCATTTAGAGGTGACAGGAGTTGTTGAATGGTTAGACTGAGTCTCCCTGTGAAGCCACCCGATGCTTCCACCTATCCCAGAGCTGCAGACAGCCGCCCAGAAGCCCTGGAGGGCTGAGGGCCTGCCATTATGAAGCCCCGACTGCCACCCCTTTCTCTGTCTGAGCTATTCCCCTAGGACCACATCCAGCCTGCGGGAGCTGCAGAGGCGCCCACTCTTCCTGGGGATATCAGGAAGACTTTGACAGCTGCTCCGGTTTCAGGCAAGATCTGATTTGATGAAAATTCCTCTCAGGTTTGAAAGCAGGCTGATGGGGGTGTCAGGGAGGGACGTGGAGAGAGGAAGCTGCTGCGCTTGAAGGATGGTGGCTGCCCAGCAGCTATCCTGATGGACTCTCTGGATGACAAGGACATTGAGCTGAAGCCAGAAGGACCAAGTCTAAATCCCAGCACTCCTGGTTTTTCGTCTCCCCAGAGCAGGGGAAGTTTGGAGGACAAGATTTAGACTGAGAAGGAGCAAGTAAGAGGGAATTATACAATGAGGGCAGGGTGGCAGGAAGCGAAGTCGAAGGCTGTGGATGGTGGTCAGGGCAGGCCCTAGAAAACCTTACATGTCAGGCTATGTGAGCTGAGGTTTGTCCCAGAGGCTATGGGACACCAGCAAAGGGTCATGGCAAGGCCAGGCAGGGGCTATGTCTCAGTCCTTCATTCAGGCAGCCCTGGAGCCCTCTGGGGTCTTGGCCAATGCAGCCCGGGCCCCTGCTGCTAAGATGCTTTCAGCAGGGAAGGGCCAGCCCTGCACTGGGCACCACCCTGTGTGAAGCACCCCCCGGGAGGGGGAAGGGTGGAGAAGGGGGGATCCAGGGGAGGCTCAGAGAGGTCCTGGAGTCTCAGCCAAATTCAGCTGTGCAGCCTGCAGCCTGCCTGCCTGCCCGCCTGTGCCAGCTCCGGTTACCCTGCGGAGACGGCCCCACAGCCACTGAGCCTCCACCCACTCCCTCTCCTGCAGCTCCTGCACCTCTGTAAGGCTGTCCCCAGAGCAGCCCGAGCACAGGGAGCGCCAGCAGGCCTGGGAGGCCGAGGAGGGAGTGGAGAGGGAGAGATACATCCCCTGGGGCATGTGTGTCTCCTAACACTTCGAAAAAAACTTCCAGCTCTCTAAGGAAGAGCATTCGGGCTGCTGTGCACCAGAACACGAGGATGCGCTGCCTTCACACCGGGGGAGTGAGGCGCGGGAGGTGCTGGGAGACAGGCAAGGTGGGGGTGGGTGTAAAGGACAGCAGGGGCCCAGTGGGAGCTGTCAGCGCATGGGGGTCCAGGGCTGAAGAGACAGGCTCTCAGGTGGGCTCAAACCCCACCTCCGCTGCTTCCTAGATGTGTGTCCTCGGCAGGCTGCCCATCCCCTGAGCATGATCATCCTATCTTTAGTGTGGGAGGAACAGTCACATGTCCCTTTTGGGGACTAGGTGAGACCACCGAGCACAGTAACTGGCGTTTATCGTAGGAATGGCTCCCGCTCTCGCTCCAGTGGAGGTGACAGAAATCCAAGCTGAATCCTTAGGTGCGGGCCAAGCAATTGAGGACCCTGTAAAAGCTACAGGGCCCGACCTCATTCAGGGAAGGGCAGTGAGGCCCAGTGGGGCCCAGCCCCCAGGTGCAGGGCACAGCCTGGCGGCCACATCAGCAGGACCAGGGCCACATGTGGCCCGAGGGAAGAGGCAGGACCTGAGTCAGGCAGGAGCGGTGAGCACCCTGACCCCACTGGCCACACCTGACCGCCAGCCTCAGCTTCCTCATCTGTCAGGGGGGCACAGTACCCACGTGGGGTGTCCTGACCATCTTGGCCCCAGTGGTCAGCCCACAAATGATCATCCTTCCAATGGGCAGGCCTCTTTCCTCAGCTCACCTGGGGACACAGGGTGCCCATTCCAGAAAATTCCCTTGCGCCACCTTAGCAAGAATGTCCCCTGTAGGACCCGCAGCCAAGTCTAGGCCTCATGGTTCCCAGTTCAAGGGAGCACATTTATTGGGCCCCACCAGTGGGAGCCCCTGTGGGCACCAGGATACGTGAGGAGAGGGCTGGGCGCTGCGTGAACGTGCTCTGCACGCTCCAGAGTCATCGTTGCTCCTGAGTGGCCCTGCCAAGATGAAGCGCTGCTTTCTGTCCTTCCCCAGCAGAACCCAGGCTGTGTCTGAAGTCCCCACGTCCATTCCTGTGAAGGCAGCGGTCTAACATGGGGCTGCCTGTCCACAGTCACCTGTGCACACCTGGATGGGAGGCCACCGGCAGATGCAGAGCCAGGTGGTGGCAGTCCCAGTGCAAACAGACTCAGAGCCCCACACTGCTTCCACGATCCACTGGGGGGGGTCCTCTCCGTGTCCCCCCAGGCTGCGCTCACCCAGTGTCACAAACAGCCTTCACTTCAGTTGGGCGGGGGCTCACCCTCTGGGCAGAGACATGAATTGTTTTTAGTTTCATTGTAAAAAAAATTGGCTGAAGACATGAAGATTGGGAGCCGGTTGTGTGGGGCTTCCCAGGAAGCCCTCACCCTGAGTTCAGTCTTCACGGAAATAAAATTCTAAATAAAGAGTCCGTTAGTTTATTCATTCATTTTATTCACTTGGGAAACGTTTCATGCAGGTCTGACGACAGGGGTGGATAAAGCCGGGGCCCTGCCTTCAGGAAGTCATGAGCTGGGTTCCAGATGGGCCTCGCGCCCCAAGCACTTGAGGTGTGCCCTCCGCAGTCTGGAGCGGGCACTCCAGCGAGTCCAGGCCAGGCGAGCTGCCGGGCACAGACAGTGCCACCTTCAGCAAAACCGAGTCAAGGCGTCACAGGCAGTGGTGGCTCACAGGTCTGACCTGTGCCCGTGGTCACTCATGATGGCGGTGACAGCTTACAGGGCCTTTCCATGCATGACCTTGTCCATCTTTCCCCCAGCCCAGAGCCGTGGCTTCCAACTACCCCGGCCCCGTTAACTGCACCAACTCAGCCATGGCTTCCGTGGAACACCCAGATGCAGATACAAGAGAAATACTTCAAACATCCCTTAGAGCTTGGGGCACTCACGTGCTTAACCCCATCTGATGAACAGTGCAGACAATAAGGTGAGTTTTCTCCTCATTTTTCCACTGCAGAAACTTGGTCCGAGGGGGCCGGCCCAAGGCCACAGAGCTGGGAGGAGCTGGAGCTGCACCCCAAGCGGACTCCAAGCTCTGGACACCGCCCTCGGGTGCCCCCTGAAACCCAAGCAGGCACTAGGTGGGCCCTGCCCACTCCCCACACTGATGCCAGACTTTGGGGAGTTTTATTGGCTGAATTGTAGCCAGCCAAGTTTCCTTCGTGTGTCACAGATTCACTCATTAATTCTGCTTCGGCCACGGTTGACCGTCTCCCGCATGGTTTTGAAATCCGTTGCCCGACAGACACAGGAGATGCCCCAGGCAGGAGAACCGTCCCCATGGCCTCCCTAGCTGGCCCAAAGAGGGCACCAGGGAGAGGAGGTGGATGACTGAAACCTGTAGCTAGGCAGGTGGGGTGGACCCAGTTACACTTTGCGACGCAGACCCGGGGACTCAGGCCTCCCGTGGAAGGCAAGAGCGGCCAGCGTCTGGCAGCCGGGCCCAACCCTGGCTCAGACACTTGGTCACTGCACAACCTTGGACGAGTTGCTTCCTCCCTCTGAGCCTTGGTTTCCTCTTCTGCAAGATGGCAAGAGCCCTCTTCTTTTTAGGATTGTTGGCGGCGGAGGGGAGACAAGGGGACAAGACAAGTTGGAAGCATCCAAAGCTAGGCATGCAGCAAGTGCTTACTGAGTGCTGGTGCCCACACCCTTCCCACACCCTGAGAGCAAGCATAAGGGGAGAGGTCGCACTAGCAGACCCAGGATGGTGCGGTTGTTCGTGGGGGCTCCCCTATGGAAGGAGGGCTGGACAGTGGCAGTGTGGGCCACCGTCAGCCCATTGTGGAGGGGCCCCAGCCCTGCACCACCCCCACCATAGCATTGCCCATGTTGCCCCATGAAGTGAGGAGGCAAAGGCAGGGTGGAAATAGAGCACCTCCAGAGCGGTGTGAGAAGATGGGGGCCCAGTTAGCAAGCACTGCCCGGAGGAGGGGGCCCTGGGCAGCTGCCCAGAGGAGGTGATGAAAGAATGGGGCCAGCAGAGATGGGGGGTGTCGACAGCTACAGGGTGCCCAGGGAGCTGGTTGAACAGAAGGGAAAGGAGAGAAGGCAGCTGGAGGAGGTGATAGGGCCCATACGTGTCCCCTGCCTCCCCAGCTTCCTGTGCAGGTCCTGACTCCCACCCTGTAATGAGGAACAGCGGAGCCCGACCCCCATTGCTCGGGACACAGCTGAGGCCGAGGCAGGGACGGTGACTCATGACCCTGTGAGAGGACCCACGGCACCTTCTACAAAGCCTGGCTTCAGCCCCCGGCAATTATTCTTCATCCTGCTCACCTCTCGGTGGAAAAGCAAGCCAATTCTGAGCCAAGCCAGGAAGCCAATCCTGGGGTCAGGTTGCACCGTCCACGCGT